CTAACAGTCATTCAAGCAAACGCAATAACATTACTACAGTTAAAAACATCGGAAACTTGGCATCAATATTTTAATTTTATCCAAATATTGCATTTCTGTCGAGGATCATCCGCGTTGACTTCAGAAATTGTGTAATCTGTATTGGTTATATATATATATATATATATATATATATATATATATATATATATATATATATATATATATATATATATATATATATATATATATATCTATATTTAAAAGCACGTAAACTTGGCATCAATGTTCAATCCGATTATTGAGTTTCTACCGCGGACACCACCGTTCATTCTTCAAAAATTTTGTAAATAATCCTATCTGTCTTGGTTATATATCTATGGTTGTACCTGTCTTGACAAACGGGTCTCTCTAAAACGCTATGTATAATCTCGGACTAAAGACCAGATTATAAAAATGAAAATAAATTTATGAAAATACTTTTTAAAATTATTTTTCAATAACTTAACCTGTATCTGTAATACAAATTTGGGGGATTATTTTAAATTTCCACAAGGGCGCCAAAAGTGCTAGGCGCGGGCTTGCATATGGTAGATTAAATATTTTATCTGTCAGATAATCTTTGAAATACTATCGATATATTCAACATTTGAGTATAAATAAAAACCTAAGGTAACTTTTGAGTGATTTTCTCCACTATTGCACATGATGGAATATATCAATATCTATCATTTATTGTACGTTACTTTTAATATTGCAAATACCAGAGATTTGAGATCAGTAATTGTATGACACATATTTTTTGAAGAAAATGAAAAGTGATGAAAGAAAATTGACTACCAGTGTCAAGAAATACTCAGGCGAATATAGAACCACCATTTTTGTACAGGGTGTCTGTAAAAGGTCTTTACAAAAACATACCACATATTCCAAAATAAGTCGATTTAAGTAAAATTACCTTAGTACAAAGTTGCTTCGTTTGGGCTCCAGAGGGCTTTGAAGTTACAATTTTTAAATCGTTTTTCCCATATAAATTTAAAACGGCATATGCGATTTTGCTGAAATTTGGTATATTGGTAGAGTTTTATGTGGCAAAAAAAATGGTATTAAAATTTTGTCCGATAATAATACATAGGCGTAGAACTTGATTTTTTAAATAATTGCACCTTTAAAAATTCTATGTTAATGGAAGAAAAAGATTTTGAGTATGAAATTTAGATTGCGCAACTCATTTACTTTAAAAAAGGTACTCTTGATAAGACTCGATTACTCTCATGGTTTTCGCTAAATTTCTGTTTTAATAATTTAGAGTGTATGGGTTTCACAAAAATATTTATTTACAACATAATCAAAATAGAGATTTTACAAAAATTGTTCAAAATGTTCACCATGTTCACGCATACAAAGATTTATACGTCGAAGAAAATTAAAATGTATCCTTTCCAAAACTTCTTCATCACCTCTAAGATTGTTTATTGCATCTTGAATACGTTGCCAGAGTTGTTTCTCATTTTCTACAGGTTCCCTGTAAACTGTGGATTTCAGATGTCCCCATAAAAAGTAATCCATCGGTGTTAGGTCTGGGGAACTTGGTGGCCAGTTTACAGGTGCGCCATTACCTCTGCCTATCCATTTGTGTGGATATTGTTCATTCAAGTGGTTTCTAACGTTTAAAGAAAAATGTGGTGGAGCTCCATCTTGCATAAACCACATATTTCACCGAAGTTGGAGAGGTAAATCTTCTAACAATTCTGGCAACGTATTTTGTAGAAAATCCAAATAATTTTCTCCAGTTAATCTTCGTGGAAGTATGACAGGACCAACAATGAAATTACCAATTATTCCAGCCCACACATTAATTTTGAATTCGTGCTACAAATGGTTTACCTTTATTGCATGCGGATTTTCAACGGCATAAACATGTTCATTATGGGTATTAGTTATACCTCTTCTTGTAAAACCCGCTTCATCGGTAAAGAGAACCTTCTTGACAAAGTTTGGATCTCTATCTCTTTGCATATTAACAAATCGACAAAAACCCAAACGAATTTGAGGATCATGGACTAATAATTCTTGTACTGGATTCTTATGGTATGGATATAGCAATTGTTCTCTAAGCACTTTATGAACGACATCTTTACTTACTCCTAGTTTCCTTCTAATTCGTCTGGTGCTTAATTCTGGATCTTCTTCAACACGTTCTAAAATGTCTTCTTCAACTTCTGGAATCCTTACAAAACGTTCTCTTCCATTATCAACAGTTTTGCGAGCAAAGGAACCGGTCTCCCGAAGACGTCTCTCAACAGCAGCAAAAGTTGGGTGGCTAGGTACACGACGATTTTGAAACCTTTCAGAGTACACCCTGGCACTCTCTCGAGCATTTCCTTCACAAAATCCTGTCAGTAACATATCGGTATATTCTGCATTGGTTATTGTACAGCCATATTAATAAACCACGCATTTGTTTTTTAATTATTGAGTCAGATAGAATACTTTTATTCGTTAACAAGAGATTAGGTGTTAAAACTTGACAATACCATTTTTTTGCCACATAAAACTCTACCAATATACCAAATTTCAGCAAAATCGCATATGCCGTTTTAAATTTATATGGGAAAAACGATTTAAAAATTGTAACTTCAAGGCCCTCTGGAACCCAAACGAAGCAACTATGTACTAAGGTAATTTTACTTAAATCGACTTATTTTGGTCTGAGGAAAATATGGTATGTTTTTGTAAAGACCTCTTACAGACACCCTGTATATAAACGAACTTAAACAGTGGCCAAATTTAGCTTTAGCAGTAGTGTAATTAAAAATTTAGTACAAATTAGTCACATATTAACTGAAATTCGTAAATCTTGCTAAATTACTAATAATAAAACATATAATGTACTCACAAGATGAAGATCACAAAAAATTAAAAGAAGATGTATATTATTCTATGACTCACTTTTATGGTATTTGTCTATAACTATACCTGCACTAAGCTTAACGCCCAATTGAAGAATTTTTAATGAGCCGTTAAAATGTTGACCTTTTAATGTATCCAAATGATGTGTTATCAGTGGAAGAATATTGCAAAGGCTCATACTACTATTTGATCTCAAATAAACGCTGGAATCACCAGTAAATATTCTAATGGAATTTGTTGCAAAAAACTGTTTGAATTCCAAAAAAAATTCCCATTATCAATTGCCTCTCTGGGTTTGTCTGATTTTAGAAAATCATTAATTATGTTCTCATAATAGAAAAAATCTTGCCATTTTATTTCGTTAAAGATCACTAAATCGTTATTGCTTCCAGATATCACAACACACGGTTCAAAGTTATTAATATGTGACAAACAAACTATCACATGTTTGCTTTTTGAATCATTCAAATAAAATTTTTGTTCACCAACAAATACATCAGTTTTACAATTTGAAGACATTTTGTACAATTGTTCACAATAAATGTTCTTTTAATAAACTTATACCGAATCTTATGGATGGAGGGGGTATGTAAATTATACAAACCTGTTTAAAAGTAAAATAATGATGCTGGTCTTTTTTCTACTGTCAATTACTTGTTTAGTCTCGATGCCATCAATCGGTCAAACCGGTTTATCCACTGCAGGTTATTGACCGATTACATGTGTCTATACAGGGTCATTAACTAGGGTCAAACCGGTTTGCACATTTTGCACATACATGGGGTTTGCACAATTTGCGCATACATATCCCATCTACTCTTGTCCCATTTTGATAAAAGACAAATTGGCTACTAATACTAATTGTCATAATTATAACTCATTTCAGTCATTCTTTGATATGCGTTGTTTTTAAAAGAAAATTCCACACCTGTAATTTTGAACCAATCAAAATACGTGTTTTTGACAGATCACCATGGCAACGGAGGTATTTTAGTGGAAATTTTTTTCTCGTGGGGTACCCAACAGCGAATTATACTGGAAATTTTTTGACGTTTACAATAACAGACCATTTTTGACAGACTGGTTTTTATTTGTATACATAATAGGTTTAGTTTTGATACATTTTAGTTACAATGCTAAGGTGTTTTCTATATTCTTCGGCCACTTCTTTTCTTCTTAATGGCGAAAATGCAGGACTTTGGATGCTTTGAATTATGTGTCTATGTCTAATAAAATATATATAATATTTAGACACTAATTTATTCACCTTTTTCCCATTCAGCACTTTGAATTTTGCTTAGTTTAGGTGCAAATATTCGTGGACAATTCGGAACAATTTTTCAAGTTGGAGCCACAATCCTCTATTAATCCGAGTAAGTAAGTCATGGTGCAATGATTGATCATTACATCAGACAATTTCACGCATATTTTGCATAGCGTATGATTTTCAAATCGATTCATTTTTAAACAAATAGGTAATTTTGTTGGTTTTACTTGCTGTGCAATATTCTTTATCGCAACAAAACGCGAGTTATTTAATGTTTTGAACTGTCAAAATACAATGATCACAGCCTTCTACGATTGATGCTTGCTGACGCTGGTTATGAATATCATACCATTTTAAAGCGCTCATAACGCATGTTAATAAAAACGCAGAAAAACAATTTTCTACCACTTGTAGTTATTCAAAACTTACGTAAAATTAAAGAATATACTATTTTCTATTTTCAAATGGTATTCCCATGCAACTAAAATGAGTAGAAATAAGCAATTTGAAGGCCTAAATAATTGCAGCGAAACATTTTTTTACGTCAGGCCGCTTGACAACTTCAAAACAGAAATTATATTCGAGGTTAGGGTCTAACTTAGTTACCATGACAACTCAACAATCAAGGCGACAACACCTTTTATGTTTCACTGGTGACTTGGAGAAAATAATTTGCATTGTTGAGAAACGAAAAATAAATTTTAAAAATATTTAATTTTCAACCATAATTCGGCGTGGAATTTTCTTACCGAATACCTCGCGAGGTCAAATTAATATCAGGAAATTTTTTGACCTCTAGTGGTATTACTAGTGAAAGTAAAATAAATTATTATTTACTTACTTGTTTCATGGGTCGAACGACCCCGGGATGTATAAAATGGTCCTTGTACAAGATGGCGTCGGCGTCAGTCGCTTTGCTTCTGTCATCTGTTAGAGAACACCTGCTAACTGGACAGCCATGAAAAGTGCCCGATCCCGATTTTTGATTCCACGTCCCTAACCCGTTGTAGGCTAGAATTACTTTTTCGGGCGTATCATATCCTGAAAAATAAAATCATAAATATATAGTGAAACTTTAAAAATATGCCACACAAAATATACAAACAAACGAAAATAGAAAGTATAATAGAAGAAAGGTTATATACTGACTTCAAACAAATCCAAACCATTATATACATATTTATATTTCATTTATTTATCTGATATTTTTAGTGTACTTGGTTTTCATAATTTTCCATAAATTGCAATTATTAAGGTGGATCGACTATATTTTTTATTTCAATACTATTAAAGCAAATTCAAGAACTCGATGACGCAACGTTCTCCTGACTTTGTTTAATCTTTGTCAAAAACCCGATTTAAAAGCCTATCGCGGCAAAATGCATGACTCTTGTGCAAAGCCGAGATGTGTGAATATATAGTTTATTGTAAATTACAAGAAGCCTGTACGTATTCCACACCGGCACTTTTGAAAGTTTGCCAAACTCTAAACCTCTTATAAATGTAAAATTGTCATCTAAACTCCGATTATCCCGGTATACCAGAGAATTTATATATCCGGAACTAGGAAGTTAGCCAAACTTCCTATCCTATCGCTTCTATTTATACAGTGTGTTCCATAAAGTTGGATTCATATGGGAAATTTTGTTGATATTACCATTATATAAATATATCTAGTAAGTTAACGCTTATGAAGACAAATTTTGATTTTATTATGCTCAGGGGCTGGTAACTCAAATGAAAAAACATGAGGCTGGTAATTTAGTACCACTCCAATTAACGGGATGACGCTTGTATCGAACTGTCATGTCAGTTGTCAGCTCGTCAAAACTTCAAACTCAGATAAAATAAAATGGCTGTTGTATTTGAAGGTGTATTGAATTTTGATTCATCTAGAATCTAGATTTATTTTTTAACACCTTCCAATTTTAATCATGTTTTCAAAAGATGGGAAGATGGATTTCAGCAACAAACAATAAAGCACTCCCAGATATTGGTAGTAATGCAATTTATACCACATTAAATATGCAGTCGTCCCCCAAATTGTAATAAGTGTCTTAAGAAAAATGCACCATCACTGTACCAACGGTAAGTAATATTTACAAACTTGTATTTGATTCAGTGTTAAAATAATTTGGTTTGTTATTTAAATTTCTTTTTGTTTTCAGTTTTTAAATGATCATTTTTGTAAAGAAAATGTTGCCCTCCAAAATACCCTGTCGATCGATGAAATATTTGAGCCTCAGCCATCAATATCAAAAATTGATTCAATGCCATTGACATCAAACAAGAAAACACCCTAAAATCTTCAAGGTTCCAAACGTGTGTAAGTTTAATTTATGCTCAAAAGTTAAATTTATTTATCACCCTGCCCACATGATGAATAAAAATTAGATAACTACAAGTGCTGTATAAATGAATCAAGAAAACAATTATCGGATGAAGAAATGCTCCTCAACCTAACTAGTCAACTCAATAACCGTATGGCAAATTTTATCCACACTCAAATTTGCTTCGATAGTAAAAAAGGATGATGGATGCTTCAACCTCAATTTTTTCAAACTTATTTGCCACTCCAAGTCGCAAAACTTTTATAAAGGTCTTGAGCACTTATATAAGCTGATTTTGTTACAGAAAACATTTTTGATAGGTTTGTTTTATAAATATTTAATTATTTAAATGGTGTAAATGCATATTTGTTTGAGTATTTCCATGTTTAAATAGACAAATTATATGATGCGGCGTTAATTTACTGTAATAAATAAAATAAAATAAATTGCATTTTATTTCAAGTTTGAAATTAATGCAAAAATATAATGAAGTAAAATCAAATAAAGATAAAAATTGGCAAAATATTTGACTAGTTTCAAATCACAAAACAGTCAATATGGTTGTTTTATGATTTAAAACTAGTCAAATATTTTTCCAATTTTTTTGCTTTATTTGATTTTCTTTATTACATTTTTGCGCTACTACAAAGTTAAATTTCAAAAAGCCCGCTCGTGGCGGCCATATTGAATTTTAGTACCACTCCAATTTGATAGATGGCAGCACATCGACTCATAATTTTACCATTGAGTCATTGTATAAAGAACTAAATAGTAGTCTCACCTTATGGAAGTTTCATTGGAGCGAAATGGATACTACCAATAGATAGCGCTAGTGAATATGGATAAGTCGATATTCGTTTGCAGTGGGCGGAGTTGAGGGTCCAGCAGAAATTTTTAAGAATGACTGAGACCGATCGATAAATTTCTATTTTTAGCTATTGGATGAAATTTTATACACTCGTGATTGAATGTTTGGACTATTTTCTATCTAATGTTTGTTATTGTGCGTTAGTGCATATATCTATGGTTAGTGGGTTTACGGGTAGTAGGTATTGTGAATGAGTTGTGTTTATGTTTTATTACTGAATTATTTTACTGTTAATAAAAGACGAGTTCCCAAAAAAAATTTGTGTAGGTATTTATAACTGTTTTGAAATTAATAAAATAGAAAATATGCTTTTGTTTTTCGTTTCCTTTACAGGTTTTATCCGAATTAATTATAATAAATTATATAATATTAATAATAGCAATAATAATACATTTCTTAGGTGTTGAAAAAATTGTATTTTTAATTTAGATACCTAAGTACTTAACATAAGTAATTATAAACAACAGGTTATTTCTTTAATCTGGTGGGTAACAATGTAATAAAAAAACCCTTAACAAGGTTGGTAAATAATATAAATGAATTCTTAATATTGAAGTAAACACAATGGGTTCTATAAGGATTATTGGTTGGGGTTCGGCTTTGGGGGATAGGGTCGAAATATTGAAACTAAACTTGGTATATGGATGTATTATTCCATAAAAATAAAAATCGCTTTAAAAAATTCACCACTCCACACCCCTATCTGATATGGTGTGAGGGTGGCATTCCCAAAAAATTAAGTTGGAACTTTTTAAATGAAACAGTTGAAGTCTACGATTTTTTATACATAAAAACACAAAATTCCAATTTTTTTGAAAAAAAATTTCCGCAAAATTTTTTTTGATCTTAGAAAAAATTTCTTCATAGTTCGGATGTGGGGGCTGGCATTTAAAAATAGTTACAAATACATAAAAATCTTATTTTTGGCATATTTACAATAGAAATGATTTGCAACATTTTTGTATAAATATCTTACCACCACCATCTCCTAGAGGGAGATGGAGGGTGTGGCATCCCCAAAAAATCAAATTAGAACTTAAAAAAAAAAACAGTTAAAATCTACAATTTTTTATACATATAAACCAAAATTTCAATTTTTAAATAAAATTATTAAATTAAATTATTTTTTTAATTTCTTTATTATATTTAATATTATTTCTACTTTTTCTAACAATAATCAATTTAAGATATCTACTTTGATTGAACCAAAATATTTAGTAGGGGAAGTTTTTAATATTATACAAACATACTGTGTGTCCAAAAAAAATATATGAATTTGGGTAAACATTAACCTTTATTTCTAATAACAGGAGAACAATGTTACTTGAAAAATGTATCTAGAATTAATATTATCCACCATCAAATCCTGGACCTGGACACAATTTTTTTTTTAGCAATACGGGAGAAGCGGAAGTGACATTTTTACAAATGAAATTAATTTCAACAAATTTATTTGAGATCATGTACAAGATTATTCACTATTAAAGACACCTTTTATAACCACTATTGCATATTCAAAAAAGCTTTAAATAAAAGTTTGTTAATATGACTGACTTTTTTTAAATATACCATAAAAACACGTATTCAGATTTCACGGAATACAACACAAATAAACTTTTTTAAATGGAATACCTTCTATGTTATTAAATTTCTGGGATATTTTTTTTCTAATTTCACAAATGTATATTATTGATAACCCTATCTTATACCGTCTGTTCTCGAGTAATTTAACGTTGATAATGTAAACATGAAAAAGTTAACATTACTAAAGTAAAAGCTATGAAAATCACAACTATTATGTTTGATAATAAAATAATCCAAATAGGTAGTTTACAGTGAGAAAGAAAAAGTGTAAATATTTATAAGATATTCGACATAGATTATCTATGATATTCGACGTTTAATTAATCAGGAAAGAATAAAGATCATTTCGAAAATTGAATAAAATATATATCTATGCTATGCTTATTAAAAAATATTCATGTTAAATCCTGTGAAATATGCACACCACTGATATGGTCATTTGATGACATTTTTACAAAATTCGGTCAATGTAAACATTATATAATAATAATTATAGCATAAAGGGAGGGTAATTTATAATGAATAACCCTGTTAGGTACCATAAATTTTCAGTAAAAAAATTTTAATTCGCACTTTTTTACGTAGATTAAAGAAAAATGTAATTTTGTGCGTTTTCTTGGTGCAGACATTTTGCGACACACTGTATATTCAAATCCAAAATGATGTATTTTCTTTTAACACATACCTAATACAAATTTATTAGCAAAATTTAAATACTTGTTATTTTCGGTATATTTCTCCTTTAGACACACACATTTTTAGTTTCATTGTCAAAAGATTTAAATAAAATTACCTGACCTTATAATATTCTATTATAATTTGATTATTAACGTAAAATTAATGTTTTGAAATTAATTTAAGTTTTACCAATTTAGAAAATAAAATTAAAAGAAGTGTCCACTCGGGGGTTTGAACTCGGAACCCTTCGATTCTTAGACAAGTACACTAAATTTTCGTTATGAAGACTTACAAAAAAGTTTTACTTTTTAACGCTGATAATCAGACTGCGGTTACATTCGACTTAAAAGACACACGAATTTCAAAAAAAAAATTGTACTATTAGAAAGTAAAGAAGTTATATATCATGACAATTAAAAAAATTTTGGAGATTATCCACGATTAAGCGAGTAATTTAATATTAAAATCTCAAAAATTGCACATTTTTCATCAAATACTTTGACTTATGTGTACAGGGTTGCCAAGTATTTTAATATGTAAAAAGATATAATTAATTTGTAAACTCGTAAATTATTATACTT